TTGCTTTCAACATAAGTCTCATAAACACAAAAATCTTCCAGCAGATGTCTAACGCGGCGCGATATTTCATCAAAAATCCTCCAGCGCAGTTTTGACTTAATGTAAACATTTATCTCACTTTTTCTGTAGTTTTGAACAAGCAAACACTGTGATTCTACTAATTGAGTCGTAATGACACGACTGTGATCAATCTTTTCCCCTGACAACTTATGTAAATAAATAATAATTTAATCTGAGTTTGAGAAGCTTGATTTTCTGTCGGGTCTTAATGAAAAGAATAACATCACTCAACTATTCATCAATTTCAAGGGCTTCGTGTCTTCGGCGAACACGTCATATGATTGTAGTTAATATCAAACACATGGCACAGGCTGAATTTCCCACAGAGAACCGATGTGAAGCTACAATAATGATCAGGAACTTTTGAAACCGAGACTGTAAGAAAAGAAAAACTTAATTCGCAAGGTTATCTTTACCCAGCATAAAAACGTCTTAACAAGGACTAAGAAACTATGTAACTGCTCTAAGAAAAAGAGAAATATGTTTAACGCGGGCTGCTACACGATGGACCGATGATGTGACTGTGACACAATTACTCAAGCTGACAGATGCCGAATCGGCTAATTCTTTTGGAAAACTTTTTAAAGACCAATAACAATAGATACAGCTGCAGTAGCGTTTGTCCTGGAACCCAGACAATTGCGCGCTGCCCTGTTTCTGCAGCTCTGCAATTCTGCGCCTCGCCTCCCCACACATCCCGGAGAACTACACCAGCTTTCGTCGACCGTAACAGACCCGCTAAAATAACACTTCATACGGGCTCGTCTCCATTTATGAGTTTTATTAATTTAACTGACGTCTTTATCCAAGGCTACGTTTTTTTTAGCAATAATGATAGAAGTCGCAAAATACAGGGTTTAAAAAAATAGTCAACATTCAATATTTTCAGACAACGCCGTAAGCAAGATGAGAACTCACATGCAAAAGTACAAAACAGATATAAGGCGAATGGGGACAGGGGTATAACAAGCCATAAAGCGCTTTGCAGTATACAGTAAAGGAACAGACCCCTTCATCCACAACTGAGGCGTCGCCCCCACCTGAGTAGGTACGACAGTCACTGTGGAAAATTGCTTAATCGTTTGAATTTGTATTATTGTGATGTATTGTGTCTGGGGGTCGTCCTGGCACGGGGAAGAGGTTCATAATGATGCGTAGGAGGAAAACGTCTCCATTAAGCCAGCGGTGTTTCTGCATTGCCGAACATTTAAGGGGAACTACAGCTGTGGGTTAATTCGTGAGCAGGTGAACAGTCTGTAGTGTCCCACTCTCTCCATGAAAGCGATGCTACTCTCTCAAGTAGCACAGACAGCGGCATTCGAAAAGAGCATGAGCAGCTGTATCCTTCTCATCAAATTCTGTGTGTGAAGATTGTAGTGCGCCTTTTAAAGTATTGCATCTTCCTAAAATAAATATGAGGTGGGTGACTGTCCAGTCCGGGGGCACGTCAGAGCTGTCTTTCTGTCGGAGCGCAGTCGCATGTCTGTGATCCAGGTCGTGAGCATCTGGGCGCGCTGTCTCACACACGCCAGGCCACGGAGTCGGCGAGCAGCAGGACCGAAAAGCAAGCAACCCATTCACGACTTGGCTATTTGACAAACGAAAAATTGAAACATACAGTACATGGAAAATGTTTTTTTGAACCACAGACACACACATCCGCATTCACTGCAAGACTGTTATGTTGCTTACGAAGTAACACATGAATGCAATCCAGAATTAACTGGAAGCGCAAACTGTATATGTTTATTATGGGGATAAATCCAATCACGAGTTGTTGTTGTTTTTTTCTTTTTCGGAGGGGCTGGGTTGTAAATGTGCAGGAATGTGGGCCTGTTCAGGCAGCTGTTTATTCTCAGGTTTAGCAGGCAGGACCAGGGAAGTCTGAGACCAGACGGGGCAGGAGGTTTTCGTACAGGGGTGTCGGGGTGTCGAGTGGGGGGTGGGGGCTCAGCAATGGGCAGTCTGGGCTCTGCAGGGCTGTTTCTCTCCCCTGGGGTGCCTGCTCTGCGCCAGGCCTGAGAGCCAGGCCTGTTAATCAAGACAGAAATAATTTACAGCGCTCCCTGGAGACCGAGGGGGGTCAAGGTTCAACTCTGCCATCCCTTCTGGTCAATTAAAACCCATTCAGCTCCGGAGTCCAGCCCCTTTCCTTTGTGCCTATTTATCTATCAATCGGTTACACTTCCAAAAAAAAAGGGAGAAAAAAATTAACCAGAGTCCTATGAATTTATTAATTCATTTTTTCCCCAAGTCCTCCAAGTGTGTGTGGCTTTTGTGATATTATATGCCTTTGAAATAGGGTTTCTTCTATAGTTAGAGCATGCATCATCTGCCTCTAGAAATATTATCTTGTTGTTGTGTAAGTCTTCAGAACCACCATTTCTAATTAAGTACATTTACAGTATTCTGCCTTATCTGTGCCTAATTCTCCTACTCTCAATACTTGGACACCTCTACACACACTGTACTCATTTTATAGAACCTTTACCTAAACCTGGACAGTAGAGTATTCAGTTTGTGCTTGAGCCCAGCTCTCAAACCAGTGTCTGGGCTACAGGGCTCAATTTGCACTCTGAATGCAAACTTTTCTGGGTCAGGGCACTGGAGAATTCCATGTGACGACTCCTTAAGTTCTGATGCAGGCCCAGGGATCAGAACCGAGACACCAGCCCTTCACAAAATACGCACCCAGAGGTTGATGGGAGGGTGTTTTGGCACAGTCTTCTTTCTCCTCTCTGGTGGAAAGTCACTACTGCGCCCGGGTTTGTAGCCTGCAGCTGGGCAGCGGGCCAAGTTTATGATTTAATACCAGCCTTAATTAGTTAAACACGAACTATCAATCAACTTCTTAAAAAAAAAATGACCTGAAAAATCGCTAACGCTAGGATGTGCAAAATGTTAAAATACTTTTTTTGAAATAAGTATCTAATCATATACAGTATATATACAGCAACAGTACTTTTGTGACCAAGGTTCACAATAAATTGTTAGTAGTTTCAAAATTAGATAAAGTCATGCTTTCTTGTCAAACATGAAGGCAAAATGAAGTTTTATACCTGGAACCGTTGCTAGTATGGTATGGTAAGTATACTGTGGTACATCAAAAATTTAATAATATCGGAGTCCTTTGTTAAGCAAATATTCGTTTCTTACCGAATGCTCATTTCATGTTAATGAACTGTAACTACAATGATCAAATCAAAATAAAATCAACAATATTTGCTTTCCTAGAACGTGGAGTAACCTCACAACCTTTCCAGGCTGGAAGAAGACCCACTTATCTCTGCCTAGAGTGTAGCATAACACACAGAGCTTCTTCCAAAACCATAATTCCATAAAAGTGACATAGAAAGAAAGTGACTAACAAACAGCTTTTGAATTGAATTAACCTCTAAGGGAATTTGTCTTGCCCATCAAGAGCTCATAACATATATGAGAATAATAAAAAAAAACAGCAACAGTACAGTACTATGATACAAAACAATGTTTAACATCATTGCTCAGTCAGACCTCAATCCAGGATCAGAAGATAAAAAACTGACAATTATTTGGTAAAGCGTCTAAATCAACAATAATATCCCCACCTCCAAACAATCATTTCACTGTTCAACAACTAAATGCTTTTAGGTGTAAATTAAGTAAGTGCTCTCTTACTCCTCTTAAGGTTTGTCCTGTTTGGACTGAACGACACCGTCTCTGGCTCCAGTGCCAGAACCCCACAGGTCACAGCCAGGAGGCCAGTTCTAAAAATCCCAGTAATCTTTCAGGATTCAGAAAAAGCCACATGACCAGAGGACAAATACAGGAACTGGCGAGCCAATTTGACTGGCCAGCGGCCATCCGCTTCCTGGGAACAAATTGGTCCCAGAACTTTATGCTGGCCTTGTCTTGCAGAGGATCTCTAATGAGCTACCTGCGATGGTGCGTCAGTGAAACATGTTCCATACACACACCGGCTGGCCCTGTACAAAAGGGCCTTAGACGTTTTTTTTTTACTTGTCCTAAAGCTGTTTCCACTTTCTTGAAGACTTCCTGTGGCCCTGTGGGCTTTAGGCTCAGTCTGGGGGCCTGATTGGGGTCAACCATGTTTGACCTCCAGCGTGGTATTAAACAGCCCCAGTCAAGGAGACCCCCCCCAACCCCAGTTGTTTTTGTTCAAAAATGACTCAGGTCTCCTAACCAGCGTCTGTACCTGCTCCAGCTTGGCAACGACAGATGTTGCTCTCTGCCTTACCCCCACTGTATGGTATCTCTGGAGCCCCTAGCCATCCCCAGCTCACAAATGAAAAGACATTTCTAATAATTTACTACGCAGTTAACTTCACAGCTCAGCAACTAAACACGCCACTATCAAAATGACTCCAGTGCCCAAAGCTCAAATGCAGTTTTGGGATTTAGGATATTGGCTTCAAAGCATCTAAAGAAAGTATGAAACAGCCGGAATGAGTTTGAAATAACTTACAACGCTTTTTGTAAGCGTTCATTATTTTTTAATTTAATTTATGACGACTGTTTCTTTTTACCCATGACCAGCATTTTTGCCTCCTTCGTCGCGGGAGAGGAAGGCCAGTGTTACCTTCCTCTCCCTCACTCACACACCTACACAATGATACAAAAACACGCATTCACCGCCCCCCACAACCACAAAAGAGCAATCAGGGAACCAGCCGGCTTCCATCACTATAAACCCATCTCCCCCTCCCTCCGTGTGTGTGGTTTCTGAGCGGATGACGAATCTAACTTCCCCAATACGCAGACACAGTCCGAGAGAGGAAAAAAAAACCCAAAATAAAACACAACCCAACGGATAAACAATACGTAACGAACGCCCCCCCCCCTCCCCCAAAAGTAAATATTTTTAATTTTAAACAATCTTGTTTTTTTTTAGTACACGAACCCATTTGTAGTCCTTTATTTTGTTTGTTTCTGAAAGTGCTTGGTTTTCCGAGCCTCGGTGCCACGTTACGCCGACACCGGGAAGGAGAGGAGGAGGAAGAGAGGTGGTGGTGGGGGGGTAGGCTGGAAAACACACACACAACAGTTTCCCCTGTAATTTCTGGGAGCATCGCTCGTTTTTATTTTCTTATTTTAATTTAAAAAACACAGCCCCTGAAGTAGGGCAGCCGAGACCGATGCAGTTTTGTCCTCCAGTGTGAACCGTCACACGTCCCGCCGCCAGACCGCAGGAGAGAAGAAGCCGGAGGAGAGAGAGAGAGGGGGCAGAAAGAGAGAGAGAAACAGAAAGAAAGAGAAAGAAAGGAACAAGGGGGTCACCGGCTGTTTTTTTACCCCCCCTGTCCGGGCAGCAGAGGCCGAACAGCAACAGCAACAACAAAAGAAAGAAAATATGCCGGAGGAGCTGAGACGGTTTCCCTGGGCGCAAACACGATAATGGCAGAGAGATGAGAAGAAAAACTAAAGCCAAGCGCGTCCTCGACCACGAACATGAAGAGGAAGAGGAACAGGACGAGGATGACGAGGACCAGCGGGACGAAATCGACATAAGAACGGTGCACAGCAAGGTTTTATGTGTATGTAGCAAAAACATTTTCTTCTCTTGCGTGGGTCTGTGGCCGGGGAGGGTCCCCGTTCGCTTTGTTTCCCCTCTTTAAAAGTGGTCGAGGAAAACGCAGCGTTACGTGTGTGAAGTGTTTTTGTGTTGTTGTTGTTGTTGTCGCCTGTGGATGAGCCGCGGTGAACGTCTACACTGACTTCTTCTCCTTTTCCTATTTTTTTTTTTAAATTAAAACATGTTTGCTTTTTTCCTCTTTCCCCCTTGTTTACAGCACGGGTTGCAGAAGAGAAGGAAACAGATGTACTCCGCCAAAGAAAAAGCAGACGAAAATTCACCCGACGCCGGCCTCCAGAAGTTGAAAATGAGGGTTGGCACTGCTTAACGTTTTCGTTGTGTTCATGTTTTGTTCCGCAGGGCGAAGTTTGTAAGGTGAGGGTACATGGGGAGAGAATATACTATGTTGGGGGCTCTGCCGTGCTTCAAAAGACACACATAAGGACAAGACACCTCGGATACGTTTCTTGTTGCTGTTAGCACAGATGGGGTAGGAAATCGACGCAAGAGGCGTGTAAAATACATGAAAGATTTGGTGTCAGCATGTTAAGGAAGGGTAGCTATGACAGGCTCCCCAAAACAACCCTACAGCACCAGGCCGGGGTGCAGGCCGCTGATTTACAATGTGCAACCACACTGAAAGCAACAAATGTCAAAAAGATTTAAGCGCACGACAAATTCTCATGTGGGGGGGGGATTTTAAAATACACCTGCGTGTTTCTTTTTTGTGCTGATCACTGTCGTCATCGTGTGTTTTATTTTTACCAGCTCGGCGAGATGGATATTTCACCAACTGACCAATAAAGTTCATAACTCAGCCATGAGTTGGGTCAAGTACACCCTTTACCAGTTACAGAAAAACTTTCAAAATCGCCTTAAAATTAGGCACCCTTATACATTTTGGTGTATGCACTTACAATTCTGTTACAGATTCAACGTGTTCAGCGCTCAGCTTTTAAGACCCCCCTAATATGAAACACAGTGTGCATAAGGGAGAAGATTAATGTGCCGCAGACACACTGTCAGTTTTCAATCCTCACAAGCAGGCTCACACACTTTCTTACTTCAAAATGTCAGCGTAATTGAGAGCTGAACAGGACCTGTGGTTTTGCCTCCTCCCCTTATCTTGCTATTTGCAAAAACAAGGTTTGTGATGGCTCGGAACATCATGCAGAAGAACCAGCACAGTGCAGTGTTTTGATATATTTGTTTCAGTAAAACAAGATAAAAACGAAGCTAGGAGGCAGACCATGTGAGGGGAAGAAAGTATGGTCTTCCAAGATTGTATTCAGCACGGCCTTCTCCCTAACCCAGGCCTGTAATTTTATAATAAGCAGCATTATAACTGACTGCATCACAATACGTGCCATATCTTATCATGACATGACAGTGTCACATCGTGACAGATTACATATCATAGTATGACATGGACTATATTATCTGTGTATGTTAGGGTTGTCAGCTGATAAAGCTTTCTATGTTGAATTCATGTTGCGTTAGCATAAGTAGGCCAGAACACAATTCTGAGCCCTCCGACTCAGGCCTAGTTCAGCGCAAGATGCTTGAGAATAAACAAAGCTTATTGTCCGATATCTGTGTGTTGGGCCCAGATTTAAAACATGCCTGACTACCAACACAACTGTAAGCAAGTGTTTATAAGCAGGGAACCATTGCCATTTGGAAAAGTTTAGTTTTTCCACACTTTACATTGTTTTATCTTTGCTTACTAGCTACTGGCATGCAACTGCAGAAGAAGAAGCTAAAGGGGTTTAGCCGTTTAAAGCCCAAAGCACCTTGGGATTGCTGGGAGATGGGTCTCAGGTTGCTTGCTTTAAAAAAAGCTGTTCATAATCAATGCAAACATATCTTTGTTGGTTTCTGATACCCAACCTCCAGCAGAGCTTTTTTGTTAAGGTTTATGTTATAAAAAGGGTTAGAGAAATGGTTGTAAGGGGATGTCTATATTAATGTTTTTTAAAGTAACAAATCAGGTAAAATGTTTTTTTATGTTACGTAGGCATTTGATTTTGAAAATCCCACCATGGAGAACTTCACGGACAGCGACTCCACCCCAGAGGTAAGCGGATGACGTCGGGCAGGACTTGCTCAAGCTGTCCACCGCACGCGCAGCTAGAAGACTGGGGAGTGACCACGTGTGTCGTTGCAGGACTCTGATTACCTGCAGTCGCGGTCGAAATCGGAGCTGATCGCAATGGTGTTGTGTATGCAGAGAGAAATGGAAAACTTGAAGGAACAAATACGGTGCCTTACAGGTAAAACCAACAAAATTTGCCGGGGGGCTAGACTACATAAGGGGGCTCCACTGTCAGACTCCATTTTCCAACCTGTTCATGCAGCTTAGCGGCGTGGGGGAGCCGGAGCCTGCGCTGGTGTGGTGCACCCTGGACGGGATGCCAGTCCCTCGCAGGGCACACACACGGACCCAGCAGGGACAGTTTTTCCAGAAGCCAGTTTTCCCCTTGCCCTCCGGAGCACCTGGAGGAAACCCACCTGAACACGGGGAGAACGTATAAACTCCACGCGCTGTAGCGCCCCTGGGTCCGGAATCGAACCCGAGGCCACAGCACTGCAAGGCGGCTGGCACAACAGTGCTTATACAGTGCATTAGTTTCCCTAAAACAGGGGCGTCTTCTCTTCACACCTTTGCGGACGTAAGCCCCCTGCCCAGTTGTGGTTAAGAACACCTTCACCAGTGGCCTGCCTGGAGAAATAGTTTCTCAGTGAACTCGGAAGGGGTGCCTCTGAGAAATCGGTTTCGTTTACAGTTGGTTATTTGCTATTTTATTAACAGTAGTAAATCTCCTTCAGAGATAGCTTCATGTGCACCAGAGGGAGGGAAGAGCTATTTCTGAAGTATGGCAGATGCCGGACAGGTTCTCCTTTATCTGCTGGAGGCTGTTGAGCTCGATAGAGTGAGGGGAATGATCTTCTTTGGAAGAAGAGGGGTTCTTCTTTTGACATCAGATTGCACAGGAGACATGCCAATCAGACATGTTGCAGTGCTTATTCCTTCACCAGTAATTGGGGTACTGTCATGTGTGTTAATTGCAGCCTGTGGGAAACTGGCGAGGAACTTGGAGGCTCTGATAGAGAGAACTCAGGTGTGGTCCAGTGCAGCTGATAAGGATCCGTCTCCCAGCATGCCTCAGGTGCAGGTGGAAGGTGAGGCCATGATGCCGGCCGTGCTGGCGCCCCCTGCTGTCCTCAATGGGCAGTGGGTAAAGCAGGACTCCCAGGCGCAGGACGGGCAGCCAGAGCCACACCAGGACTCGCAGAGGAATGGACTGCCTCTTTTTCCAGAGGTAAATACGGTACACTGGAAATCTCATCAGAATGGTTACATGAGAGAAGAGGCCGGGTCATTCAGCCTGGTCAAGTTCATTTGGTATTTAGTAATTAACTGAACCAAGGGTCTTGGTTTCTTGAAACGAAACAGGATATTGGCTTCAACAACATGGCTGAGTGGCTTGTTCCACACTCCCACAAACTTGTCTGAAGCAGCTGCACAAGTAGGGTAGAACAGTTTTAATTATTTAAAACCAGGGGGTTGTGGTTAAAGAGGGCAGGGACAGTTAAAAAGAAAAGGCATGACTATTTCTCTTGGTATTTTTAACCATTTTTTTTTGCAAAATGTAAATATTTTGGTGTTTGGTAAATAAGTTGGCGTTTTTTGGTATTTTTTAGTTGAGTATTGGGACTACACACTTGTAAGTACTATATCAAGTTGTTAATAGCTAAAATAAAAAAATAGCAGATGCAATTAGCTTCACACCAATATGATTCTAGGGCTTACAGAGGAAAAGGGAAAGTTTGGCACTTAGGGTTTGAGTCCGCTCGTGTCTTAATTCATTTGTTTTCAGATTCCTTCCCCCTTATTAAAAGGGCCTCTCTTCTCATGAGCACCAGGGTGCCCGCACCGTTTGTCTAAATAAAAGCCGGCTCTTTCACAGGGTTCAGACTGGCAGCACTTACTGAGAAAAACAAATGACAGCGCATTTCGAGCAAATTATTCCAGCCTGTGTTCGGCTGCTTTCAAAGACCTGTTTCTGTTCACGCTTCGAGATTTTTGTAGCGCTAACTTTCAGCCACACAGATTTCACAACAAAGAGAGAAAATGCGAACCTGTTGCAAGGATGGGATTGCTGTAATACTGGTGGTCATCCAGGCAGCTACAGCAGTAAAATAAGCCAAAAGTAAAACATTTCATTCATGGCCTCCTAATAACCCCCATTCCTGAACTGGCTTCATCGCTCTGCTCTCCTCCCCACTGAGAGCTGGTGTGTGGGGAGCGGACTGGAGCATCATCCGGGGGGGGCTGCACACTGGTGGTGGTGGAGGGGATCCCCATTACCTGTAAAGCGCTTTGAGTGGAGTGTCCAGAAAAGTGCTATATAAGTGTAAGCAATTATTATTATTATTATTATTATTATTATTATTATTATTATTAGTTAACACAGCAGCCGGTTTAATAACTTCTAAGGATGGAACTCGGCGTTCTGCCTTACGATAAGACAGGCACTAACATGACCTCAAGTTATCGCTGTTGCAGCTTGTAACGGTCTCGTTTTGCGTGCCCTTCTCGGACGCCGCCTGTCCTGTTCCCCCTGCCCGCGGCGGGAGCAGTTCATCAGTCTGGAGCTGCTGGACCGCTGCAACACGACCGCCACGGCGCAGAAGCTGACCAACGACCTGCTGCGCGGGCTGTACGAGCGCGAGTGCCTGGCCTCGCACTCCATCTCCGGCATCGTCTACAACAAGAGGGGCCAGCCCAAGCCCGCGCTGCCCGCCGACGAGGTCCAGGCCATACTGAGTACGCGCGCCGCCCCGCCCCCGGCCCGGGGCCGCTGCCCTCCGCCGCGCACGCGGGCATTGGCGCCACGGGGCCGGATCTCGCCACGCCGCCGAGGCCCAGCCGCGTGGCGTCGCAGCAGAGATGTCCCAGCATGCCACTGGAACAGTCCCTAACGGGGCCTTTAGAATGTGTAGGATTGTTCTTTTCTGTGCTAGAAAAGTCTCAGTAAGTCCAAGGCGTGTAGCCCTGCAGGTCGCAGGCCCGTCTGGGAGTCTGACAGGCCAGGCAGTTAAAGCTACAACGTTAACTGTTAGAGCTATGACTGTCTCCAGCAGAAAGGCAGGTTGCAGTTGTGAGGAAGGTGCAATCGCTACAAATAGGAAAATTGTAAGGGTTCCTACCTACATCTTAGCAGTCTAGTATCAGTTCTGTCAAGAGATAACTGCCTGTGTGTTATGGTATACTGGGATTATTAGTGAATTTTAAATGGAATTGATATATTTTGTACTTCTCAGAGACACAGGCTCTTTGCTGTCTAAGGATTAGAAGGGGATGTTTAAAATCTCTTTATTTTCTGATAAGCGTTCCAGCTGCACAGTGATCTAGATGATCCCAATGGAAGAAAAGCTCTGGACGTTTCCTCCTTGAGGGGACTTCTCACATATTTGGGGGTTTTTGTCTACATCAGGGAAATCCCTTCCGGAAGACTCGCAGGCAGACCCATTAGACATCAAATAAATCTTTCCTCCTTAAGCAGTCGGGAGGCTTGAGCCATCTTTGATAATGGACCAGAATTCCGGACTGCTGTGAGCTGCTTGTTTCTCGAGGAGCCTGGCCCTGGACAAGCGCTGATGGTGAAAGGGGAGGGAGATGTGAGGTGTTAGTGAGGGCCGCTGGTGCAGAAATGCTAAAGGCAAAGAACCAAGAGAGGAAAGAGACCTCGAGAGGAGAGAGGACATCAAGTCGTGATAAAGTGCAAAACGCCCGTGCAGATTAAAGTAAACTTTTCTAACACATGATCAGAGCAGCGATGTGAACTGACTGTCTTTTTTTTTTTTTTTCCTCTTTTGAAACACAAAATGCTCCTCCAGGAACGGTGCAGTATTTCTTCCCAGGCAAGACCGATGCCGAAATCAAGGGCTACATCCGTCAGAAGCTGCAGAACGAAGCGAAGAGGCTGAGGAGGAAGCCTCACCTTTCGGCCAAGACGGAGGTGCGGGGCGAGTCCTCGCCCGATGACCCGGCGTACACGTAGGACCCCCGGGCCCGGCCCGACGGGCTCCTGGACGCTGCGCCGCAGACAGCTGCCGCCGCCGCCCCCCTATCCCCCACCTCCCCCACCCCCCCCCGTCCGCAGAGAGGGAGCCTCCTGTGTGGTGGGACGCAGGCAGAGAACTTCAAACACGGATGAGCGGAGCGCTTGAAAGACAAACCCCAGCAACGAGGAGGCACGCCGACAGGCTGAAAGCCAAGCGGGAGTTTGAAAGTTTGATAGGCGGGGGTGGGGGGGGGAGGAGAGAGAGAAACAAATGTGTGTTTGTGGACCCCCTGGAAGATTTTTCCCCCCCTCTTTTTTTTTTTTATGGACTGTCTCATGCCGACAACTGAAAGAACTTTTCTTCCCCCCTTCCTGTTTGTTTTGGGAAAATGACGAGACCGTGCTTGCGTTGATCAGCCAGTTCCTGCTGTGATTGAAGGCAGGTTAGAGTTGTAGACTTACCCCCTACCCCCCCCAGCGCTGGATATTTAGGGGGGCAGACAGGAGTAGCTGTGATCAAATTGCTCTTCTGTATCAGACCCGTTTTATTTTGTACCGTATATAAAGCAAAAGGATCCGCTTCAGAGGCCTGATCGTGTAATAAAAGTTTAAGTATGTGATTCTCCTTAAACTGTGTTTTCAGTGTATCTCTGATTTGATGTATCTTTTCTGGTCTCTTATTAACTCAGCTTAGAATTAGTTATTTTTTTAATTTTTACTTTTTTTTTTTAATCAAGTCTCGACTATTACTAATTAAATAATGTTTGGTTTTCAACTATTTCTCAGTCTTTTCTGGTGAATGTATCGATACAGGTTTTTGCTGTATTTGCTGATAAAACATCCCTGGGTGAGGATGTGTGCTACACTTTAAATCCCCAGCCTCGTTTTATATAAAGGCAAACCTGCCGTCTGTGAACAGGATCATACAACTTGCATTCAACGCATCTTAATTCTAACAAAGAGCACAATAAGAAACAAATACAATTACGGAATACTATCAGCTACAGCCAACTTTATTACATGTGGGCCTGTTCAAGGTACAAATGTTGCAGTTTATGAAATTGCCCATCTTCTTCAGCCACTTTGAAAGAAGCAGGTTACAGGAGTTTCTAGAAGCCGTGCCTGAACATCAACCAAAAGATTTTTAAATCTCTATTTAAGCAGTTATTTTATACCAAGATCTGCCGATCAGCTATGCAGAATTAATGCCTGCCAGTATTTAAACTAAGCATAAGTGTACTATTGTACCTAGTGACCTAAGACACTTAAAGAGGACAGCACTTGGGCTTATGAATAACCCTGCAATCTCTACCATACGCTGTAATTCTGCAGTTGCTGTCTTTGAATGGCTGGTAATTATGATTAAGCTTTGTTTAGTAAAGTTAACAGTGTAAGTTGTTACATGCTGTGCTTTTGCAACCTTAGATTAAAAAGATCACCCAGGTAACACATTAACGTCTGAAATGGGATATATAAAAATCATTTTAAATAGCAGTAAAGGACTGGAAAAACAAGTCATATCTAAGGATTGCTTGTAAACTAAATTGAATCATCTGTGTCCTCTACTGCTCTGTATCCACACTCTTGTTTCTGTGCAGTATACAGTTTGTAATTCCAGCTCACACATTTTTTACACAGGAGGATAAAAGTTTTTTTTCTTTTTCAATCTGAAAGTTACTTGTCCTGCTGTATAGGGTCAAATGACCTTCAGTAACTTATGCAGATGAGTGAGCACAACAATTTACCATGGCTGACCGATCTGAAAGTCCAATAAGAGCTCTCCAAAACAGGAATTTCCAGAGGAACAAATAGGTTAGCAATGGTGGGTTATATGTGCACATGCTTTAGCAGCTCATGTATTTTCAAATCAAGGGTTTAAAACCAAAGGGAATCTGGTCTCTAATTGTATTTGTGTTGATTTCTTCTGCTGTTCGTCGGGTGGCCGTTGTGAATAAATTGCAGATAACCAGAGCAGAAATCTGAAGTCCTGAACTGTTGCAGTTTCACTTGCACTGCATAGTGCTTGTCTGCTCCACAGTGTGTCTCCTCATCTGGAGGGCACACCCTGCAGCAGGTGACCTGTTTGCAATGTGCTATTCGAATCTCGCCTGCAGTGTAAAGCTGAACTAAATTACCCTCTGGCTCACTGTTGCTCTAAGATCACTTTATTGTTTACATAATAAAGCCAATTTTATTATACACAAGGAATTTGTATTTTCGCAAACCCCAACTCTCCATGAGACACACAGGAACACAGCCAGGGAGAGAGAAGCTTGGGGTCAGAGCGCAGGGTCAGCCATTTATACGGCGCCCCTGGAGCAGTTGGGGTTAAGGGCCTTGCTCAGGGGCCCAGCAGAGTAGGATTCCTCTGCCGGCCGCGGGATACGAACCGGCAACCTTACAGCCACAGGCGCAGATCCTGAGCCACAGTGCTACCGCCCCTTATGTAAGGCTTCAAGAAGACAGCACTTGAAGTGCAGTTTAACATCATGCATGCTGGGATTGGTCACTGGAGACCCTGTCGTACTGGAGAAGACCAGAACAATGTTGTGGGACTCGGCTTTAACAGAAGAGAAGCACCCAGTGACAACATTGTGTAGCTCTCCGTGCAAGAGGTTCTGAAGGCTACGTTTGATTTCTTTGTACACGCAGTGCCCAGGCGTGAAATCTCCGCCCTTCCCCTTTGCTAACGCTGTCTCAAAACCCTGTGCTCCGCTCCGCCTGGTTACTCACTGTTTATTTGTGTTCACTCAGTCCGCACACACGAAATAGTGCTTTCTGACTGGGGGGGGAGGGAGGGGCGCAGTGTGGTCTGGTTGCAGTCTCTGGTTAGCTCAGGCCGAAAGCCACTTCCACATGTGTGACACACCAGCAATCTGATCGCAGTTAACTTCAGACAGCCAGCCCGGCGTGGTCTGTGAATCTGGCAGTGTTGACAGAGCAAAGGGAGCTCGGGAGGCTTGACAGTGTTTGTTCAACAGCATCGCTGTTTAATTAGGACTGAAAGCAACTCACAACTGCTTTACAATGGCTCACAAAGATCACCAAAAATGTCAGAAAAATTAACAGCTCGCACAGAAAAACAAACTGCTGTCCGGATGAGGGCTGGATTCCGCCAGGAAAGCCTGAGGCTGCATGAAATTAAGGGAAAATAATGACCAGGAAACAAAACAGCCCATCCCCTAATACAGTGCTACCTGGACTACTGGGGATGCTCTGAAGCTCTGGATTAAATCTGGAAAACATACATCGTGCCATACCTTACAGGCGGCGCCTTCTGCCCAGCAACCTTTACTGTTAGAAAAGAAGCAGGCCTTAAGATTGAGAGATCCCTTGTGAAAAGCTGGGCCCTGAGCAATACCATTCCTGCATTATCTTTCAATGCTGAGAGGGATTAAAAATGCAGCAAATCCTGCAAGTTCCAACACTCCCTCGCAGTGTTTATGAATGCCTCTCGGTACGTTTTTGGGATAAAAGTAACCATCTTTGCAGGGGGAGCTGTAATCCTCCTATTTCTTCCCAGAAACAGGGAGAAAGCATTTCTCACACACCAAGTCAGGACTCTGGGCCCAGACAGACGTGGCTCGTTCAGTCTGGTGTCCGTCTGGTCTCATAAATCTCCTGGCACGCCAACGTCAGAGAGCCTCTCTGCTTTACCATACTTTTTTTAACGACCTAGGAGACCCAGAGGATTTTAAAATCCAGCCTGGCCTTGAGATGTGTGGAAGTCTGGGAGAAGGCATGGAAAAGTAGCTCCAGTTTCATTAACATCTCTCTACATCTTTGTCGACATGATCCATTTTATTTTCCAACCCCCAGTAACACCGCTTTCCAGAATTTTCCGATAGGAAACGCAGGGTGTGCCCAGAAATCGACCTCAAAGGCCCTTACTGTTACCTCCGGCGGGATTTAATTCTCCAGATCCTAAAAAATTCACACGAAATGACACGATAAATGCGCTGGCAAAAACCGACGCGCCCACAATTGTGTATAAGTGTTAAAAATCGAAGGATACTTAAAGGTACTAAAAACAAAATTAGTGGAGGAAACAGACTGTGGAAAGCGCGCACAGACGTTGTGTGGCAAAGACCGGGTCTCAGGCAGCCGAACGCGCCCTGAGACTGTCTGACTGCGCCGCGCTCACACTGAGCTGTTCCGCAGCAGCCCAGCAGGACAGCCGTGGGCTTATTTAAAACCGGCCGGGAAGTAAATTGAGATTAAATATCCCCATTGAGACTTAATATCTTATTTATAATGATGCCCTCATGGTAAGAGTCGAAAAACACTGAACGCGTGCTAAATCGGAGCACGGCGAACACGCCGTGCCAGCCGGCGGGGTATGGCGCGATTATATGCAACATTTATCTTTCATTTATCTTTCGTTTCGTGTCAGCCCCTTCCAAAACAAACCCTAATCCAAAACCGGGAGAAGACTTTGAAGTTGAAGATGACACTTTAGGACTGTTCAGACTGGAAGTCAGAAAGCCGTGAAGCCCACAGCACGTGTTCGGTTTTGGATCAGATGAATCGAAAGAGCTACCCTTCCTAGAAACAAACGAACTCATGCATTTTTTTGGTGCTAGAAGAAATAAAAAAAGTGTGTCTCCCCCCCCCCAGACTTTTAGGTCTGTCCTGCGGAATTGGGTTAAGAGGATATAAGGTGAAATTTTTTAAAGGAAAAAAAGAGACAGACGGTCCAAGCCTAAGAGAGTCTTAAAACCTCTCTTGGTAAAGGCGCATTCACACAATTAGAGACCAACCAAACACAGTCGTCTGTGAAAAGCGGTCTGAAACAGAAGCCAGACTGTAAAAGCGCTGCAGGAATGTTTGGCTAGTCAACATTTCAGAGCCTCTCCGCCAGTCCTGTTATGGCCTGAGTGAATTTCTAAAGTGATTTACCTTACATTCCCCTACAGGGCTGTGAAAAGACGAGACAGAGGAAACTCTGTTTTTACAGCTTTGCGGCAAGAGTTATCAGTTTTCCTGCTCCATCGGGCTGGCTCCCGTGAACACCATGTTCCGAACTACTATCATTTTCCTTTTTTGCCTCTTTGTGTAGGTTTTTTTTTTGGGGGGGGGGAGGTGGGGAACCGGGAAAGTCTTCTCCATCTCTGCCATTGTGCGTGCACGTACGCGTGTGTGTGTGTGCGCGCGAGAGAGAGAGAGAGCGAGGAGGGCAGCCCCCTCGTGGGACTGTGCTGGAGGTGTGGGGACAATGTGTGCCGTATGGCAAGTGCAGGGGAGATGGAGGTAATCAATGAGTGAGGAAGACAGGCAGCGCATTGACAGCAGGAGGCCTAGGCCTGTTGCCTTGGCAACCCCGGCCTACTGGGCCCCCTCAGCCTGGGCCTAGCAGAGATTCTGCAGCCTAACATCTGCCTCCCAATGGGCTGTGGGGAATTGAGAGGGAGAGCAGATGAGGACCCTTAAAAACTGAGCAGAGAGAGAGAGGGAGAGAGAGAGACAAATTAGGCCAGTTGCCCAATGAGAGGAGTGGAATTTATTTATTATCACGAGGAAGAGGTTGTTCCACAGAGCGGTTTGATTAATGTCCAGGCCTCCATCTTGTCAGTCTGTTTTTGTCTACTGAAAGGAAAACAAAGCACAGGGGGGGCTGTTTTTAATGGGAGC